ATTCCCACAACAGTGTTTGCACTAAAGGGGGCGGAGTTCCAATCATCCTGTGGTGTTGGGTCTTCACTTTTCCCCACCATCCTGTGGTGCTGCGTTCTCGTTTTGAAGAGACAGTGCCCCGCGTCCTTCCTCCTGCTCCCGCTCCCTCCTCCCTCCTCCCATCCCTGCCTCTGCCCTCCGCCTGTCTCTGTTTCAGCACACCCTTCACACACTTCGTGGCCCCATAGGCCCCTATATAGGGAGCTACCGAAGGCCCCAGCGACGGGGTCCGCATGGCGCTCCCGCACCCGATTCGGGATACCATTCCCACGTGTCGTGGCCCCATAAGGAGCTCCACCGACAACCCCAGCAGCAGGATCCGCATGCCGTACCCGCGCCCGATCCAGCACATCCCTCACTTTTTGTGGCTCCCTAGGGGTCCCCACCGAACGCCCCAGCGGCATGGTCCGCCTGGCACGCCCGCACCCGATATGGCACACCCCTCACACCGTCGTGCCTCTACAGGGATCTCCACCGAAGGCCCTAGCGGCAGGGTCGGGTCCGCATGGCGTATATGCACCTGATTCGACACACCCCTCACACGTGTCGTGGTCCCCACAGGGAGCCCCGCCGCTCAGCGGCGGGGTCCGCATGGCGTACCCGCACCCGGTTCAGCACAAGCCTCGCGCGTCTCGTGGCCCCCTAGAAGGGCCCCACCGAAGGTCCCTGCGGCAGCGTCCGCATGGCGTACCCACACCTGCTCCGGCACACCCCTCACACGCTTCGTGGCCCCACAGGGAGCTCCACCGGAGGCCCCAGCGGAAGGGTCCGCATGGCGCATCCGCACCTGATTCACCCGATTCGGCAACCCCCTCCGCTGCCTCGCGCCAGACGTGCAGGAACCCAACGCACAACGGAAACAAGGGCGGCCGAAAGAGCTGGGAAGGAACTAGACACGACAACGGTTGCTTTCGGGGACCGGGCCAAAACAACAATCCCCCTGTGAGTTTGTGCCTCTGTTCCGTTCTTGTTAACGCCGCAGTCCCTGTGGTGCCGCCCCTCCTCCATTTCACCAGCCCCGCGATGCTTGCAGGTGAATATGGGTGGGTCCCTCGCCAGGCTACACCAAGTAGCATCCAAGGTTGAACTTTCTGTGGAGCTCCCCTAGAGGGCCACGGAGCGTGTGAGGGGTGTGCCGAACAGGTTGACGTGCGGAGGGCAGAGGAAGAGATGGGGAGATGGAGCGGGAGGAGGAGGAGGAGGAGGAAGGACGCGGGGCGCTGCCCTTTCAAAACGAAAACCCAGCTCCACCCAACCTTGCACCCGTGGAGTTGGGTCCCCGATTTCAACAAACAGCGCCCCGCGTCCTTCCTCCTTCTTCCTCCGCCTCCCTCCTCTCATTCTTGCCCTCTGCATGTCCCTGTTTTGTGCCTGTGCAGGGACCTCCACCGAAGGCTCCAGCGGCAGGGTCGGCTCCGCATGGCGTATCTGCGCCTGGTTCGGCACAACCTTGGCAACCCCAGCGAAGGCCCTGGCAGCAGGCTCCGCATGGCGCACCCACATCCGATTCGGCACACCCTTGACACTCTTCGTGGCCCCCTAGAGGGGCCCCTCCGAAGGCCCCAGCGGCAAGGTCCGCATGGCGTCCCTGCGTCCGATTCGGCACACCCTTCACGCGCTTCGTGGCCCCATCGGGAGCCCCACCGAAGACCCCAGCGGCAGGGTCCGCATGGCGTACCCGCTCCCGATTGGGCACGCCCCTCACGCGCCTCGTAGCCCCAGAAGGAACCCCATCGAAGGCCCAAGCGGCAGGGTCCGTGTGGCGCACACGCGCCCGATTCGGCAACCCCCCACGCTTCGTGGCGCCAGGCTGGCAGGAGCGCAGCGCACCATGGCAACGAGGGCGGCCGAACGAGCCCGAAAGAAAACGGGCACGGCAACGATTGCAGGCTCCTGCCGCATCGGGCCAGGGCTGGCGGCGCGCGCAAGGGGATGGGGCCAGGGGGGGCTTGGCCTTTTCAAGAAGGCGGGGGGCTCCGATCGCCCAGGTCTTCGACGAGGCTCCCCGGCGAGCGCGTGCAAAGTGTCCGCCCGCCTTTCGTGGGCCCCGGAAACGGCGGAGCTGTTTTTTCACCGTTTCCAGAAAAGTGCCTTGAACATGAAAACGGCAAACATACGGCGAGTGGAAACGGCAACAAAAACGGCTCCAGGATGGGAGCCGGAACCAGAAGCAGTAACAAAGACGGCGACGGAACCAGTAAAACAACGGCGTCGGAACCGGCCAAAAAATGGCAAAACGGAGCCGGTAAAAAAATGGCCCTGTAGTTTCCAGGGCCCACAAAGCACCCGCCCCTTTGGCCCCCGCCAGTCTGAGAGGCGCGCACGGCTGTGCAGGCCATCCCTCCAGTACGGTGGGGGGATGATTTGCGCACTACGTCTGGCTTGCTTGGAGCCGACTGGGGGTATGAGGTGGCCCAGCGCTGGTTCCGGCCAGCAGGAGAGTTCGGGTGGGTTGGTTCAAGGTTCTAGTTCGGGAAGCTTTTGTTACTTTTTCCGGCTTCCTTGGGCCTCTATCGGGTCCCGCGGACCATCAATAATATATCTGGGGTGAAAAATTGCACCAGATGGACACTGGGAGGGATCCAGGAACTGATTGTGAGTGGATTTTTTGGGGGGCGCGTAATGGGAGGGCGATAAATGGGGCGGCAGCGAGGGCTGCCGAAAAGGTGCCCATTAGGGCCCCTGAAGGGGCCTTTTAGGGCCCAAGGGGGGCCTTTAAGGCCCAGCCAAAACGGCACCTTTCTCCCCCTCCCAGTCATCGCCCGCCATTAATTCGCGCCAGAGCTTTGGATCCATGCCCCCCTCCTGACCGATCTTTTGGTGTCAACAGCAGTTCAGACCCCCAGGCCGCCTCCAATGGCTTGCACTGTCGGAGGCCGTCGACGCCGGTGCTTCCCTGGGAGGTCGCGCGCGGTCGGCGTGCGGAATTCTCCGTGGATGGGCTGTCCACGACTGGAGAGTTCGGGGGGGAGGGCCGGGGTGGTCAGGGGCAGCGATGGGGGGAGGGAGAGGTTCAGGGTTACCTTCTCGTATCTCCTTCACCGCGCGGGCCTGCCGCCTGAGTCGCCTTAGTTGGCCCAGCACTGCGCCAAGCCGCTGTTGTGCACCATGCTCTACCTAGAGTCGATGCGAGCATCAGATGCGAGCACCGATGCTGCGAGCGCCGAGGCTTAGAGTCGGGCCAGCGTCAAACGACAGACTCGGGGGGAGGTGCGTCGACCCCCACTCGCCCATGGATCGCCAATGGAGGGCCCGATAGCCATACACACCCCCTGGACCGTGGGGTTGCGTTATCAGGCCCCGACCGCCGACGTATACACATATATATATATATATATATACACATATATAAAACCATGCCCATCCACACATACATTCATACATACATGTATACATATATACATACATGTATACATACATACATACATACATACATACATACATACACACACACATACATACATACATACATACATACATACATACATGCACATACGCGCGCAGGCATACATACTTCCATACGTACATACATGCATGCATGCATGCATACCTACACACATACATACATACATATGTACATATATATACATATATATATACATGTGTATGCATACATACATACACGCGCGTGCATGCATACATACATACACACATGCATGCATATATACATACACACTTAAATGCATACAAACAAACGCACATACCTATGTAAGTATGCACCAGTACACGTACATACATACATACATGCATGCATACATACATACATGCATACAAACATGCATACATACGTATACACATACATACAAACATACGTACATACATACAGACGTACGTGCGCACACACTTGAATGCTTATCTACACGCGTGCATATCCACACGCATACACATGCATACACACAGACACACACACGTACGTACATACATGTATACATAGTTTCACATACATGCGTACACGCATACATGCATACACACACATGCACACACGCATGCGCACAGACATGCACACACGTACACACATGCATACATACATACATACATACATACATACATACATACATACATGAACGCATGCATACATGTATACATGCATACGTGCACACATGCACATGTTTACATACATACACAGTTGTATACACACATACATGGATACTATATATATAGATGAATAGGTGTGTATATATATATATATATATGTATATGTATAGATCGGCGGTGTGTCGCCGTTGCCCGCTCGATGTTTTCCCCCCTGCGCTGGCCACCCCTTAACCCAGCGGCGAGCCCAGGAGGGAAGTGAGAAGGGGCGGGCCTTTTCAGAATCCAGCAGTGGCGAGTCGGCGAAGCGTCCTGGCTTGTCCATTACAACAGTTCTGGCCGAGCCTGTCTTGCTTTAACGCGTTGGATCTACGTTATAAGTACACGATCGTGATGTTAGCAAATTCTTAGGCTCTGAAGACATTTCGTGGTAGGCCTATGGGGATGCCTGGACGGTCGGCCCCTGCTCAACAGAAGGTTAGGAAATCCCCTGGCCTTCTGAATAAGTTTTCCATGTTTCCTCCGAAGCGACGAAACACTCTTTTCAGCAGGCGCGAGGGCTTCTGAGGGAGTCCCGCCGCCTTCTGAGAAGGCCTTCTCCGTTCTCACTTTCTCCCCTGGGCGCGCCGCCGAATATTTGTCAAAATCGGTACTCGCACCCCTCCCGGGGTCCATCCGACGCGGTTTTTACCCCGGGTCGAGCTTCCGGGTTCCCGGGTCCCGAAAACGGCCCCCAGAGTCCGAAAACGACACGGAGCCGCCTCGAACCTGGAGCCTCGAAGTTCGAACCTCGAAGTTCCCCCCCTCGCTCGCCGCCGACCTACGCTCCCCGTCACAACGGGGGGGGGGTGCGAGGCCGAGCCTCGCTGCCCCCATCTGGTCTTGGCTGCCCCCCCTCCGCCGCTCTCTGGCCCGCGGCGCGCGGGCCCATGGCGGCCTACGAGGAGGCGCTGGCCAGGGCGGTGGACACCCTGCGCAGGCCGCGCAGCGTGGGCTTGGAAGTGCTGTCCTCCTTCTTCTCCTCGCCCCCTTCGTCCTCGATCCTCCTCCTCCTCCTCCTCCTCCTCCTCCTCCTCACGCTCCTCCTCTTCCTCCTCCTCAGAACGACCCAGATATCGGGCGTCTCGAAAAATCGAAGCGTGAGTTGTTCTTCGTAGTTTTCGGCCTCTCGGGCCCCCTACCGGGCCTCAGGACCGTCAACAAAACGACTCGGGATGAAAAACCGGTCCTGGGAACGTGGTCGAGAGGCCGGGGGCCCGTGTCTCAAAAAAATCGAGGCGCCAGATGTCTGGGGACTCAGACTTCCAAAGAGCTGAGCTTGACTGAAGTCGAACTCGATCCCAAGCGCACACACACACACACGCACTGCTGTTCTGTTCCTCGCGGCCTGCTGGTCCAACTCAGCGAGGGCGGTTGGCGGGTTGCGTTCAGCGGATTACCACGGAGCGTACGCCGATGGGTGGCAATCGAAAGGGGGTTGCGTTGCGCGTACAGAACAATCAGGCGTGGACGACTGCCGAACACATGCAACGTCGCCTGGCATTCCAAACGCACCTGCGCACACAGTTCACAGTTCTACACGCCTCTCAACCCCCGAGAGCGGCCTCCAAGAGCACGCAGCGTGCTCACGTCGAGCTCGATCCCCCCCAGATACGCCGCTCTCCCACTCCCTGCGCCAGGTCGAGCAACGTGATGGTGCTGAGCGGGGCCGGGATGTCGACCGCGGCGGGCATCCCCGACTTCCGCTCCCCCGGTGGGCTGTACGGCACGTCCGAGCGGTTGCTGGACCGCTTCACGTACCTGGGGGACCCAGCTGCGGTCGCGCGGCAGAAGCGCGCCCTGGAGCCCGAGGGGCAGAACGGCGGCACAAGTCACTACTTGCCAAGCCACCACGACCCAACTCCTCCTCTTCTCCTTCCTGCTGCTCCTCCTCCTCCTCCTCCTCCTCCTCCTCCTCCTCGTTCTCCTCCTCCTCCTCCTCCTTCTCCTCCTCCTCCTCCTCCTCCTCCTCCTCCTCCTCCTCCTCCTCCTCCCCCGGGAGGTGGCCCGAATGCCCCAGACTCCCCTAACTTCGTTCCACGGTGTTGTCTCGTTGTTCCAGAACGTCTCCCCGCCGGAAGCTGTTGGGCCCAACAGCGACTTCGGGTTGGGTTGGCGTGGCTCCGTTGGCTGGTCAACAAGCACCAGCTTCCCGCACGGGCCTCCTTTGACCGGTGTTGGACCCCCCTTGGCGGCGCCTCCAGTGCCGAATCCACGAGATCTCCGCGAACCTCCCATGTGGCTTGCTCCATTCTTCCAGGAGGGTGACATCAAGAGCGCGCTGACGCTTGCCTTGTTCCGGGAGAACCCGCTCCCGTACCACGAGATGCGCCGTGGGTTCATCCTGGGCCTTGGCGCGGGGCAGTGGAAGTGCAGCCTCGGGCACGTGTTCCCGGCGATACTGGCCGCCAACGGTAAGCTGCGCATGCTCGCCTCCCAGAACATTCGGGG